AAAATATATTAAACACCAAAAAATATAACGGGCAACCTAGGTTAGGATATGTTATGAGAGGCTAGATTAGGCTACGTTAGGATAGGATAGGATAGGTTAGGTTAGATTAGGATAGGCTAGGCCAGAATAGGGTTCATGTTCGTGCCATAAAATGCATTTAGTCAGTAGATTTACACGTAGCTTAATAATAAAATTGTATCATTAAATTCGCTCTACATATGAATTTGTGGTCCATGTGAGGAGAGCTTGAAGGCTCACGAGCTGTGTAGGAGGATGTCTCAACTACCATATATAGTTGTATGTGTCAACTCAACATACACTACACATATGCCACATACCTCAATTACCATATATAGTTGTATATGTCAACTCAACATACACCCTACATATATCACATACTGTCATCGGTCACAACCCAGCAAATATTTGTAATCTTGCTTTAATAAAGGTATCTAATAACAATAATATTATCATTGTATTGGTAACAGTGATCCTTCAGAGACTGATTATCCACCATATTCTCCAAACATTAGCAATATTGTCAAAACCTGGAAATTACTTGATGTAAACATTACCACCATGTTGGCCACTGATAATGACACTGTTATGACCACACATACACCAGTATGATTATATTGTGTATGTGTGTGATGCGGTCAAACTGTATAGTCAAATATTAGGTGATTAGCCTAATGTTATCATTACTCTTGTATCTGTAATCAATTTGGGAATACGCTAGTTCATAGCAGTCGTTTCATACAGCTATAATTACATGTTTAAACATTGGAATGTTGTATCGGACATGCTAAAGGTATTATAATATAGTATATATATATATATATATTATTATGTACATTTATATATACTTGAGGTATGACGAATATACTGTAATCTAAGTCTTTAAACGATCGTTCGACCGGTAACTGCTGGAAATCGTCCCATACCCCCCCCCCCCTTATACATATCCAGCCAGTATTGCCATGTGTTCTAGACTTGACGTCTTATGTGTTTTAGCATAGAGCATGATATATTCGTGTATACCTAGAGTTGTGATATGTACTCTCCTGTGGAGAATATGGTATAGTGTTTATATTTATGTAGTGTATGAATTAGACTTACTATTTGGATTTTGAGCTTGTGATATATAAAGGAGGAAAGTTGGGGGTGACTTGCCATGTTGGTAACAAAGTTGTTCTCGCGCGGCTCGGCCCTCGGCCAGTCACTACCCTCCTGGACCCCCAGGTGGATGGACGTGACACCTCCAGCTCTTAAGTTGTCTTGTATATTGTTGATTACTCGTGTGTATATAAGAGTAATGCCATCCGTATAGTGGATCAGGCTACCAAGGTACATCAGTTATGTCAGGTGGTAGGTGCTTTTGTGTTGAAATGGGTACCTGAGGATCGTAGGTGCTTGTGTATGTGTTGCAGCACCAACCTCTTACTTGGGTTAGTGTTCCCTTGCGCCGGGTTGGAGACTGGTGTCAGCCAGTCCCGAGTATGTGCACTTAATGCCTCCTACTGACTTGAATAGCTGGGTTAAAGTTCCTTGAAGTTCTTGATGTTATTATTTGAGCTGTGTTAAAGCTCTTGACACACACAAATCACAATAGCGTGATGCATCAAGTGAACAAATCCACAAGGGCCGTGACGAGGGTTCGAACCTACGGCATTTTCATCCCCCCCCCCCCCCAGAAAAAAATTATATTATACATATGTATAATATAAGAATTGTGTTTATTGGTTTTAACAGTAGAAACATTGAGCTTAGTTCTAAAGACAAAATCGACAATTAGAAAGTTAAGAAAAAGTAGGGTGAAGGGGGGGGGGGGGTGGTTATTAGCGTGTGTTGAGGCGGTGTCGGTGGCGTGAGGGAGGTCCGGCACCACTCTTATGGTATATATAGCCTGCTGCCAGGACCCTCCTCCTGCCTCACACTGTAAGGTAACCTCTCTCCTCCTGCCTCAATCTGTAAGGTAACCTCTCTCCTGCCTCACTCTGTAAGGTAACCTCTCGGCCTTCTCCAGCTCCTCGTCTCCTCCGGGCTCTTTGGGTAAAAACAGCTCCGGGTGAAAGATGTTACAAACTACAAAGTGATTACGGTAAGGTTATTCGGAGTTCAGCAACAGTTTGAAGTACAAGTATACATGGTGATGCGTGACTGGACGCAGACACCTTACCATCACTACACTAGGGTTACTCAGGCCAGTATGAGGCCAGATGCCACCACGAGTGCCGGCAACAGACACAGGGGGGGGGGCAGGTCAGGTGTACACTCAACACAGGGTTCCAGGTCAGGTGTACACTCAACACAGGGGGGCCAGGTCAGGTGTACACTCAACACAGGGGGGGCCAGGTCAGGTGTACACTCACCACAGGGGGGGGGGCAGGTCAGGTGTACACTCAACACAGGGGGCCAGGTCAGGTGTACACTCAACACAGGGGGCCAGGTCAGGTGTACACTCAACACAGGGGGCCAGGTCAGGTGTACACTCAACACAGGGGGCCAGGTCAGGTGTACACTCAACACAGGGGGCCAGGTCAGGTGTACACTCAACACAGGGGGCCAGGTCAGGTGTACACACGTCTACACCTATAACAATAATCAACAAGAACCTACAGTCAACAGGTGGAGGCGACACCTCACCTTTAATGGTGTAATATGCCACCACCAGCCGGGCCACACCCCACAGCGGACCGGCACGGGGCCACACCCCACAGCGGACCGGCACGGGGCCACACCCCACAGCGGACCGGCACGGGGCCACACCCCACAGCGGACCGGCACGGGGCCACACCCCACAGCGGACCGGCACGGGGCCACACCCCACAGCGGACCGGCACGGGGCCACACCCCACAGCGGACCGGCACGGGGCCACACCCCACAGCGGACCGGCACGGGGCCACACCCCACAGCGGACCGGCACGGGGCCACACCCCACAGCGGACCGGCACGGGGCCACACCCCACAGCGGACCGGCACGGGGCCACACCCCACAGCGGACCGGCACGGGGCCACACCCCACAGCGGACCGGCACGGGGCCACACCCCACAGCGGACCGGCACGGGGCCACACCCCACAGCGGACCGGCACGGGGCCACACCCCACAGCGGACCGGCACGGGGCCACACCCCACAGCGGACCGGCACGGGGCCACACCCCACAGCGGACCGGCACGGGGCCACACCCCACAGCGGACCGGCACGGGGCCACACCCCACAGCGGACCGGCACGGGGCCACACCCCACAGCGGACCGGCACGGGGCCACACCCCACAGCGGACCGGCACGGGGCCACACCCCACAGCGGACCGGCACGGGGCCACACCCCACAGCGGACCGGCACGGGGCCACACCCCACAGCGGACCGGCACGGGGCCACACCCCACAGCGGACCGGCACGGGGCCACACCCCACAGCGGACCGGCACGGGGCCACACCCCACAGCGGACCGGCACGGGGCCACACCCCACAGCGGACCGGCACGGGGCCACACCCCACCTGGTGAACTTACACGTGCAACTGTGTATGGAGTCAGCCTACACCACATCACTTCCTAATGTGTTCTATTTGTTAACTACTTTGACACTGAAAACAAGTATGTTATCATCTCACACAGAAATCACAATAGCGTGATGTATCAAATGAACAAAAATAAATTCGGTAGAATTTCTGGTTGCAATTCTTTTACTATGTCGTAGCTCAGTCGATTAAGGCAGCGTCTGGGATGCTCTCGGATGCAGTTTCGAATCCTCGTCACGGCCCTTGTGGATTTGAGCCACAGACATGTTATCATGTCTGTGACTCTTTTGGGTACTAAGTTTCCACCTGTCCCCTTGTTCGTGTTCCACCCGTGTTAAATAGTTTGTCTTTCCCTACTCTGTCAATTCGCCTGAGAATTTTATAGGCGGTAATCATATCTCTCCTACCTCTTCTGTCTTCCAGTGTCGTGAGGTTTAGTTCCAGTAATCTTTCCTCGTAGCTCATACCTCTCAGCTCGGGGACTAGCCTGGTGGCATACCTCTCAACCTTTTCTAACATCGTTTTGTGTTTGACTAGATGTGGACTCCAGGCTGGAGCCGCATATTCCAGTATTGGTCTGACATATATTTTATTCAAGGTTCTGAATGATTCCTTACACAAGTTTCTGAAGGCGGTTCTTATGTTCGCCAGCCTGGCATACACCGCTGATGTTATGCTTTTGATGTGGCTTCAGGGGACGGTTCTGGCGTGATATCAAACCCCCAAATGTTTTTTGGCGATTCCTGAAGGATTTCATCTCCCAATAGGTATCTTGTGTAAGGCCTCCGGCTCCCTACACGAACCTTCATCACTTTACACTTGCTAGAATTAATCTTTAGTAGCCATTTGTTGGACCATTCCTTCAGTATTTCTAGGTCATCTTGTAGCCTCTTGCTGCCCTCCGGTCTCTTACTCGTTCTCATAATTTTAGCATTGTCAGCAAACACTGAGAGAAATGTCTATACCCTCCAGAAGATTACCTGCTGCCACTACCAGCTGCCATTACCAGCTGCCAGGTCACTGTTGGCTTCATTACCTGTAGTTACTCTCAAACATCATGTCTACGTGCCTATATCAAAGTTGGACCTCGGCTTTAAATTCAAGAGCCGGCTATCAGGTCAGCAGCCGGCCTTGAGGTCATGAGCCGGGTGTCCCGGGTGAGAGCCCGAGGACAGAGCGTGCCAGGCCTCACACCATGGTGGGGGGGGGTGGTAACAAGGCGTCACAACTACACAGTTCACAGCCAGGGCGACAAGTTATAGACCCTCAACCTCCAGGTGAGATCCACCTGGGAATGAACATAATTGCAATAAATATCACCTTTGAACACCAGGTAGGCAGTTGAACACACAGGTGAGTATCTGGCATGAACGTATAAAAATGTACTTGCAATCTAAAAACAATATTTGTTAGTGTAAATATTAGTGTGGAGGGAGAGAGAGAGAGGAGGGGTCGCGGGTGGAGACGGGTACACTACCTGTTTGGAGAGTGACCTATGAGGGCGGAGTGGCCGGACCGCCCGCTCCATGCTGGGGCTGGTGGGGGCGCTGCTCGTCCCGTTGTGCACCACTATGGACGGTACTGAAACACAACACAACACACTTAGCTCCTGCTCCACCACCACCTTACAACACCCTCACTCACACCTGCAAGATACCTGGTTGATACCTGGTTGATGGGGTTCTGGGAGTTCTTCTACTCCCAAGCCCGGCCCGAGGCCAGGCTCGACTTGTGAGAGTTTGGTCCACCAGGCTGTTGCTTGGAGCGGCCCGCAGGGCCACGTACCCACCACAGCCCGGCTGATCCGGAACTTCTCTTAGAAAACCGTCCAGTTTTCTCTTGAAGATGTCCACGGTTGTTCCGGCAATATTTCTTATGCTCGCTGGGAGGACGTTGAACAACCGCGGACCCCTGATGTTTATACAGTGCTCTCTGATTGTGCCTATGACACCTCTGCTCTTCACAGGTTCAATCTTGCATTTTCTTCCATATCGTTCACTCCAGTACGTTGTTATTTTACTGTGTAGATTTGGGACCTGACCCTCCAGTATTTTCCAGGTGTATATTATTTGGTATCTCTCTCGTCTCCTTTCTAGAGAGTACATTTGGAGAGCTTTGAGACGATCCCAATAATTTAGGTGTTTTATCTCGTCTATGCGTGCCGTATATGTTCTCTGTATTCCCTCTATTTCAGCAATCTCTCCTGCTCTGAAGGGGGAAGTGAGTACTGAGCAGTACTCGAGACGGGACAGCACAAGTGACTTGAAGAGTACAACCATTGTGATGGGATCCCTGGATTTGAAAGTTCTCGTAATCCATCCGATCATTTTTCTGGCTGACGCGATATTTGCTTGGTTATGCTCCCTAAACGTTAGATCGTCGGACATCATTATTCCCAAATCCTTGACATGCTGTTTTCCTACTATGGGAAGATTCGATTGTGTTTTGTACCCTGTATTATGTTTCAGATCCTCATTTTTGCCGTACCTGAGTACCTGAAATTTATCACTGTTAAACATCATGTTATTTTCTGCTGCCCAATCAAAAACTTTGTTGACATCTGCTTGTAGTTTTTCAATGTCTTCAGCAGAGGTAATTTTCATGCTGATTTTTGTGTCATCTGCAAAGGACGACACGAAGCTGTGGCGTGTATTTTTGTCTATATCAGATATGAGAATAAGGAACAGTAGCGGTGCAAGGACTGTACCTTGAGGTACAGAGCTTTTAACATCGCTTGGACTCGATTTTATCTGATTGACTGTTACTCTTTGTGTTCTGTTCGACAGGAAATTGAGTATCCAGCGTCCTACTTTTCCAGTTATTCCCATTGACCTCATTTTGTGAGCTATCACCCCATGGTCACATTTGTCGAACGCCTTTGCAAAGTCTGTGTATACAACATCTGCATTTTGCTTTTCTTCTAGGGCTTCTGTGATTTTGTCATAGTGGTTGAGTAACTGTGACAGACAGGATCTTCCCGCTCTAAATCCATGTTGTCCTGGATTGTGCAATTCATTGTTTTCCATAAAACTAGAAATTTGATTCCTAATCACTCTTTCAAACACTTTTATTATGTGTGATGTTAGTGCAACTGGCCTATAATTTTTTGCCAAGGCTTTACTCCCCCCCTTGTGCAACGGAGCTATATCTGCAGATTTAAGTGCTGCTGGTATCTCCCCTGTATCCAGGCTCTTTCTCCATATTACGCTGAGTGCTCTCGCTACTGGTACTTTACATTTCTTTATGAATATTGAATTCCATGAGTCAGGCCCAGGAGCTGAGTGCATAGGCATATTATCAATTTCTCTTTCAAAGTCTTCCGAGTTTGTGGTAATATCCGTTATATTATCTGCAGCTTGAATGTCATTCATAAAGAAGCTGTCTGGGTCATCAACTTTCATGTTGTTTATTGGTGTGCTAAACATAGCCTCATACTGGCTTCTTAGAATTTCACTAATCTCTTTGTTGTCCTCTGTGTACGTACCTTCATTTGTAATTAACGGTCCAATACTGGTCGAGGTTTTGGATTTTGATTTTGCGTATGTGAAAAAATATTTCGGATTTTTCCTTATCTCTTGTATAGCTTTCTGTTCCAATTCCATTTCCTCAGACTCATATGATCGCTTCAACGTTTGTTCTATTTCCTCAATCTCCCTGCTTAGGCTTGTTTTCCTTGCTTGTGATAGTTGTGTCTGCCGAAGCATTTCCGTTATTTTTTTCCTTCTCCTGTACAGTCGTCTCCGTTCTCTTTCTAGAGTGGTCCTCTTTCTGCCCCTCCTCACAGGTACGTGCTTCAAGCAGACCTTGTAAGCTTCAGCTGTCAGTTGAGCTATTCCCTGTGTGGGAGTTTTGTCGCTTAAGACCGTCTCCCATTGAATGGTTGCAAGGTCTACATTTATTTTTTCCCAGTCAATCCTCTTATTGTTGAAATTGAATTGATTGAATATTCCTTCTCGCTTGTTGGGTCTCTTAGACCTACTACCGTTATTTATGCTAGTTCGCACTTCAATGAGCTTATGGTCTGAGTATGAAGTATCTGAGATTGTGATATCCCTGATTAGTTCATCATTGTTTGTGAATAACAAGTCTAGTGTGTTTTCGTTCCTAGTTGGTTCTGTAATCTGTTGATTGAGCGAGAATTTGTCACAGAATCTCAAAAGTTCTCTAACCTGTGGTTGGTTATTTCCCGGGTCATTCCCTGCTATGATATTTGTGTTTGCCGTTCTCCATCTTAGACTCGGTAAATTGAAATCTCCAAGAAAGATAATATCTGGAGCTGGGTTTGCTAGGTTGTCAAGTATGTTCTCTATTTTGTGCATCTGTTCTGTGAATTCCTCAATCGTTGTATCTGGCGGTTTATATATTAGAATAATAATTAGGTTTAGTTTCTCTACCTTCATTCCAATGTCCATATTGTGTGTCACTTCTGGAAGGTTTTGGTAGTTCTCCCTCCTCTCTACCCTGACCCAGGGTGTGTTGTTGTGGCAATGGTTTGTCCAGTTTTGGAAGTGATACTGGGGAGTGTGGTAGTCTCTGTGTAGTTGGGGGGTGTAGTATGTGTGGGCTTGATGACGAACTGTAGTCCAGTCTTGGGCATTTCCCCCTCTCCATCCGTACTCCTGCCACGTTTCTGCCTGTCTGTTTCTCCCTCTGTTTGTACCTGCCTCTAAAAAATTTTCAGGGCTATTATGTTGGACTTCTTCTCTTATATGGCGCTGTGTACCTCTGACGTGGAAATCGGGGCAGTGAAGATCGTAGCATTTCCTCTCATTGACTGAGAGTGTGCATAGCTTAGGGTGAAAATATCTACACTCTGTATCAAAAGACACCTGCCCTCACCGACTGGGCCATGATGGCATTCCGTGCCTCTGGGCCCATATCTACACTGTCCTTTTGCATAATACCAGCAAATATTTTCATTTGTGATTGTATTATTCTTGTTTGTACCCGTGCACGACTTGGCTACCTCTGTGTTTTTTGTTCCAACTTTCTCGTTTCTGCATTCATTCTCGGTATTGCCCTTATCTTTCTCCTTGTTGCTTTCGTCTTTCTCATTTGTGTTCTCATTCGTCTCATTTTTTCTCTCCTTATTCATATCACCAGTGTGCTCTACAATATTGCCTTCATTTTTGTGTACCTCGACACTATACCCTTCTACATTGCTACTTTGACTCTCTAACTTCTCAGTCCCTGGTTGTGTTCAGAGTTCGTTGCTGTCTTTATATACTCTGCATATATTTCTGGTAGTTTTTGCGTGAATTGTAGCCTGTGTACTTCAGGAATGTTATTCATTAGTTTGGTGATGTTTTCCCACAACTGTCTGTCTCTTTGACAGATCCAGTAGTTACCTCCCGGTTTGCATATTGTGTAGGTAATCCTGTACAACTCAGGTGAACCTTATGTTACAAATGTTACATACAAAGCCACCCGGAACTCTACTGAAGTGACTTAAGGCAGCCTCCACACACCTCCATGTTGGGTTTGTGATGTTATAATAATATATGCATATATTAAGTATTATATGTATGTATATATAATATGTATCCAGTATATTTATAATATTACATATGTTTATTTGTTCAAGTTTATGTGGGGGTACTTATCGCCTTGTGGAGAAAATATGGTCGTCTTGGGACCGTTCCACTGGTCAGTTCAGGAAGCCCCAGCCCGGAGACCAAGCAGGGGTTTACACTCCACCCGACCACACTCTGGCCCACGGTGATGGTATTCACACTCTTACGCCTCACTCACATCACAAGCAAGTCACAATTGTCTGATAAATCAATGAAAATCATTTGAAATGACGTATATTACTATTTTTTTTTGTTTGCTTTCAAAATATTGACTTAGGTAGCCGGCGGACAGTGCAGAAATCCTTGATGTGTGAATGTGACCCTGACACGCTATTCCTTGTTGAATTCCGACGACCCCGACCAACCTGTGTTCATGGTGTACCCCACACTGTTCCCTCTGCCAAGCTGGGTGAGGCTAGCCCCAAACATCTGGCCTCCAACTTTGGACGAACACATTATTATAGTGTAAATGGTACGAGGAGGGGTACCCGGCCCTGCCAGGGGTAGTCTATCTTAAATTCCACCCCTCTTCTTTCCCCTCCCCTCCACATCCTCCCTTTTCCCTCTTCTCTCTATTTTCCCATCTCTTTTCTCCCCATTTCCCCCTTCTCTGCACCTTTGCCCTATCTCTCCAACCTCGAATAGACAGACATTTCCATTTGTGTAGAAGGGGTACCCGGGTGCACTCGGGTCTCTTCCACCACTTGCCTGCTCTTCCCCAGTCTTCACCCCATCTCCCTCCTCACCCTTCGTGCCCCCTTCTAGAGGGGGGGGGAGAGAAATACTGAAACATGTGTATCGCTCTTACAGATGCTTTCCATTTTCTTTTGCTTTTCTTACCTTTTCTTTTCACTAACAACTTCACGTTAATCACACGACATATTTCATACTTGACTGTGAAAATGGTCTGGGGGTCTTTAAAATTGCTAATATTTTTTTAAAGGCATTTAACTTGTGCCTACCCCGATCAGCCTGTGTTCATCCTGCGCCCCAGACCAGTTCCTTCTG